CATAAGGCTATTGTGGTTTCTATTTTAATATACACAAGTAAAGGAATTGATACTACTGCAACTCATAATTAACAAAATCGAACATTAGAATCAGACCAGAACCTGCAATGTCACAGACAGCAATTGTAACAACAATAATTGCCATATTTATATACAATGCAAATTATGTCAACATTCAGATTTGCAGATTTCTTTAAATAATATTGCATCAATACCAATTTATGCATGTATAAGATTATAAGATTGGTTATTTTCGAGGTTGTTATACTGTGCAATCACCATATTGATCTATGATAGAAATCCATATCTGAGCATTAGACAAGCACCATACAATCTCAATAATGTTATTTTTATAGAATATATAATAGCATCTTTTGACATAGTGGTTTTATTGTATTTGGTATATCATTAGAAGTTCTGGGAGCTTATTGGCACATGTTTAGAATTGTGATAAGTAAATGGATAAAAAAAATGCTTGGTCATGATGAAAATTTGGTTATTAGGAAATTCAAAAGGCTAAAAGGAGAAGAAATTCAAAGGTCTAAACTTGAGAAAAAATTAAAACAACACATCAAGAAGTTGTTGTGACAATTACAGTCAAAAAATTATAAATATAATTTTTTATTGATAAAAAAATATTTTAAATTATTTTTGTTGGATGATATGAAATATGATGATGATTAATGAATGAGCTGTTAACAAACTACAATAATTAATGATGAATAAATAAATAAGATATTAATTAATAAATGAATGAGATACTCTCTTCTTTTGTATATTCATAATTAATTTACATAATTATACAACAACAAGACCCTTTAGGTACTTCATCTTTCTCTGACACAATAGGTTTTGATCTACCAAAACATAAATATAATTTTCTTCTTTTTTCCTTTCCTTCTTTTTCTGAAAGTGGAAGCGGTAATGGTTGCTCATTGTTTACTTGGTTATGATTGTCATTTGATTCGTCGTGATCCGTTGAACCATCAGCTCTTCTTCTTTTTCTATCTGTTGCCATATTTGCAGGAACACTAACTGTTTTCTTTTCATTGGTTTTCAAAAATGTTATAATAGCTGAAAATTTTACTGGAGGTAGATCGTTTTTTGAACATGTATATGACATTGTATAAGCTGTTGGTGCTGGTTTTGCATCATTTGCTACTACTTTTGAGCCTTTTGATTTTGGATTAATGCTTACTGATGCAATAGAATTTGCTTCTGCATTGCAAAACAAAGTGACATCCCATTGATGACCTCCATCAAGGAGTTGTGAATGAGTAGATTTTAAATACATTTTATTTTATTTATTTATTCTTTTCAAAATTCTTAATAAATAAATGTTAATAAAATAATTGATAAAAAGAAAGAAAATAGTTTGTATTATGAGGAAAATATGAAAGGAAAGAAAATTGCAATAATAAAAAAAAAACCAAATGAAAAATATTTAAATATGAAATTCAGTAATTAACCATGGCGCAGTCGAATTTTATAATAATAACTTTTTGGGATCATATATATATATTAATATATTAATATTAATATACTTGTTAAAATTTTTTGAAATATCATGTGATCCACATGTTGGATTCCATTCAATTCAACTTTAAAAAGGGAGACAATTCATAAAAAATTTCTCGATTTTTTTTCATGGATTTTTTATAATTCTCGTGTTACAATATTTTTTGAATTATAAGACCAAATTTGGTAATGATTTTCTTTTGAACAAAAAAAGAAAAAAAAATTTGTTATACAGTGCGGATCATCTATATTCAAAAGTTAAAATTTTTGTAATCACGTAGGTAATTAAAAAATAATTGATTTTTAAAGAGAAAAAAAACACAATGAGACTTGTTGTCAGTTGATTGATTATATTAAAGATTTTACTTTAATTGTAGTAAAGAAAGTCGGAATAGCAACCCTTTTTATTAGGAAATCTTTTTTTTTACAATTTTCCAAAAGACCATTTTTTACAATTTTTACAATTCACGCCAAAAGTCTATTTTTTATAATTTAAATTCAAATGATTTGTTAGAATAATGTCAAGTCTTTTTTTACAATTTGCCAAAAGACCATTTTTTACAATTCATGCCAAAAGTCTATTTTTTACAATTTAAATGATTTATTAGGATAATGTCAAGCAAGACTTCTTTTACAGGAACATTTTTACAATTCTTTTTACAAAAGTCCATTTTTTACAATTTAAAATGATTTATTAGGATAATGTCAAAAGCCTTTTTTTGCAATTTGCCAAAGGTCAATTTTTTTATACAATTCAAAAAAAGCCTTTTGCAAACCACCAAAAGACCAACTGTTAATATTAAATAATAATAATTATTAAATTTATTTAAGGAAATGAGTTCAAAACCATTTCACCATATCGGGATATTTTAATATCCGTTTTTGTCATTTTCATTTACCTTCCTTCATTCCTATTGGTCAATTTAGTGAT